AGATTGTGCATCGGACCAGCAGCTCTGGCTGGAAACATAATGATCATAGATACCTTTATGCTCAAAAGCCAACACCACTAAGCAAAATGTATGTACAGCAGAACATTATTATTGTTGAAGCTTGTCACAACTAAATAGAGCAAGGTGGTGGTCGAAGAAAAATAACAAAGAGCACAAAGGTTCCTAACAATGAAATCCTGGTGCCCAGCACTTATTTTTTTTTCCAGTCGCCCAAAGGCAAAAGTTAGTCATCTGTGGCACCCCAGCGTTTATAGCGCACAGCCCTGTATACATGTAGCATACATGTGTATCACACAATTCAGACAAAATCTAGCCTTTGTGTTCTATAATTTACATGACAAAGTTAATGCCATGATTGATGAATTATGATTGATGAATGGCCTAATTTCTGTGTAACTTTCCTCGCAGACCATTCACACGTGTGTGGTGGATGTGGCTGTTTTTGACAGGAATTGCTCTGCTAGGTGCTTACAGGTGAGCCAATGCACACATTTAAAAAGCTACATATTGTAATGCAAAGCTGTGTTGAGCTAAATTACCATACTGCAAAAGTTTATCACTGACAGTGTCTTTAGCATTGTGTGGCTAGAAGTGTTTGTATTCCTCATTCCTCCTCACCTAGATGGAATGCTAGACAATCCCAGGGGTCCCCCCAGCATCAAACATGTCAATACTCATTTATACAAATGAGTGGGGAGAGTTACCGATAGAGAGAGTTATCAAGTGTCTTACCTTACAACACAACACAACACAACAACTCTAGTCAGAACTCAAATCTGGACTGCTNATACCTTTATGCTCAAAAGCCAACACCACTAAGCAAAATGTATGTACAGCAGAACATTATTATTGTTGAAGCTTGTCACAACTAAATAGAGCAAGGTGGTGGTCAAAGAAAAATAACAAAGAGCACAAAAGTTCCTAACAATGAAATCCTGGTGCCCAGCACTTATTTGTTTTTCCAGTCACCCAAAGGCAAAAGTTAGTCCTCTGTGGCACCGCGGCGTTTATAGTGCACAGCCCTGTATACATTTAGCATACATGTGTATCACACAATTCAGACAAAATCTAGCCTTTGTGTTCTATAATTTACGTGACAAAGTTAATGCAATGATTGATGAATTATGATTAATGAATGGCCTAATTTCTGTGTAACTTTCCTTGCAGACCATTCACACATGTGTGGTGGATGTGGCTGTCTTTGACAGGAATTGCTCTGCTAGGTGCTTACAGGTGAGCCAATGCACACATTTAAAAAGCTACATATTGTAATGCAAAGCTGTGTTGAGCTAAATTACCATACTGCAAAAGTTTATCACAGTGTCTTAAGCATTGTGTGGCTAGAAGTGTTTGTATTCCTCATTCCTCCTCATCTAGATGGAATGCTAGACAATCCCAGGGGTCCCCCCAGCATCAAACATGTCAATACCCATTTATACAAATGAGTGGGGAGAGTTAGCGATAGAGAGAGTTATCAAGTGTCTTACCTAACAACACAACACAACACAACAACTCTAGTCAGAACTCAAATCTGGACTGCTTGATCCACACTCTAGTCTTGTCTTTTGCAAGTCTCAGGCTTGCAGAAAGAAAAGATTTAAATACCACAGTGTCCCACAGTCTGAGATCCTTACTTGTCTGAATGTTTTTATTTTCTCCCGTATTTGTGTGGGTCAAAACAAGTTCATAGTTATTAGATGTGACAAAGAGTTCAAAATTTTACGTTTCATT